GTCCCCTGGGGGCGGGGGGTCATGACAGAAAATAATTAGGAACCACTGGACCAAGCCAAGCCTGCTCACATTCTTTAGCATGTTTCCTGGGTTTTATCAGAAAACCTTGGAAAAGTTTTTGTTTTGCATTTCTGCTGCTTTTACAAGAGCTGTTAAAACTTAAAGAGAAATGTGGCTTATATACTGTATGTACAATCATTTTTCCTTTTTAAATTTAGTGGGTGCAGCTTATATTCAGGTGCGCTCAAAAGTCTCAAAATTATGGTACTTGTAATTATGGTGTGATCGTTTAAAATGATTCTTAATCATAGGGTCGAGCCAAAAGCGCCACTTAGAGGGATGCAAAAATTCAGTATTATATATACACACACAATTTATTTCTTTATTCTCATGGTCAGTTTTGAAAACTGAAAGCTAGGATGCCACACCAGCTTGCCACTCCAGCTACTGGAACTTTGCAAATACCATCCAAACATCAGCAGGCTTTTTGCCCGAAACGGAAATTTTCAATGGCTTCCGCTTGGCTGCGCTTTTGTGGTTCATTTAAGACGAACATCAACAACTCACCTTGGTTGAGTCTTCTCGGGCAGAGCTCCAGCGAGCTCTGTGACTTCTCCTAACCACTCCGCCAGTAGACGCATTGCCAAAGGGATCCAGGTGAGTGGTGGAACCCGACGGGAGGGAACCGCCACCATGGGAATACCGCAACTCCAGAGCGCTGCCTGGCAACGAGCGACTGAGGAGAGTTTGGGGTAAGACAAAGGAAATACTAGGTCAGATAATGATGGCGATTTTATACACTCAACCCAGAGAGTTGGTAGTAGGCTTTTGGACGTCCAGAGGACGTCCATTAGGAGGGGGGTACTGTCAGGTCTGTCTGTTCCTGCTGTCTGCTGTGTGGGGTAATTTGTTATCACACTGACCTGTGTCTGCAATTAGCTACTTATGTCACCTGGTGCTCCCTGTATATATACCTCTCTCCCTCACTCTGGCCTTGTGGGATCATTAATTAAGTGACTGTCTCCGTGTGTGCGCGCTGTCTCTGTGAGCGCTGTATCGTTCGTGCCAGCGTTGTGTCGAGCTTTTTGTTGTAGCTGTTCCTGGTCGGTTCCTGAGCAAGTCTGTTGCTGTGCTCAACTCTGTTTCGTGTTCTCAGCTCAGCTCTGCTCGACTTCGCCTATGCTTCTGTCCTGGTTTTTTTTTGGAATTTTTGAATCTTGAAATAAACTACCTGCACCTCCAGATATAGTACAGGTGAAGTTAACGAAGTATTCAAAATGAAGAGAATAATGTAGGGATCAATTTATATTGCTACAATAGTACATATGTTTATTTAGTGCATATATGATTATATATGCGTATATATATGTATATATGATTATACTCCGGATAAGTTGCACCAGCCAGCTAGAGTGCCCTCTAGCGGCAGTCAGTGTAAAAAATAACGAACAAGTAAATTTTCAGTGGTACAGGAATAGCAGATACTGGTACACAAACCTAGAGTGCCCACTAGTGGCTGTCAGTGTGAAAATTACAAAAATGTTCATTTTCCGTGGTGCAGGAGGAGCAGATACTGGTACTCGTGTCTAGAGTGGCCTCGCACCTGAGTATAAGTCGCAAACCCAGCCAAAGAATGAAAAAAAAAGTGCGACTGGAAAATGCTAGGTATGTGTGTGCTATTGGTACTTCACCTGGAATACGAGCCTCCAGGCCTGGCTCTCAGCTGATCTAACTCCAACTGAAGCCTCTCCAGCTCTGCTATCAGTTGGTCCTAAGAGGCAAGGGCCAGAAAGAGACAGTGAAAAAGAGAGACTGTGTATGTCGTACCAAGTCCGAATATAGCCCCAGAGTTCCAGTTACCTTGTTGGCTAAGAGGTCGTCCTGAAGTTTCTTCATGTTGGACAGTTCTTCTGATAAAGCATTCTGCAGGAAGGAAACAGGTGCAATTCCTTCATTAAGTAATAAAAATAATAAAGAAGAAGCCATTTTATTTCGTTTCTGTACCGAACAGTGAATCTGAGTGCAGACTTACACAGATCATCACAGAGTTTAAACGTGCTAAGGTATAAAACAATTGTAAACATGTTAGCATGTTGAGTAAAACAAAAATAGTTGAATGAGATCGCTGTTTTGTTCTCGTAGCTAATTTCTGGGCTTGGGCCATAATCTCTGACATGCTTCTTCATTCGTCGTAGAAGAAGAAAGCACAGAGGTGCTCTAAGCCTCTTACGGCGTCCTCAAACTTTGCTCCGTAGAACAATTATTTAACAGATATATTTCACTTTCTATGGTTAAAAACTCCTACTACCCCACAGTTTGACCAGGTGAAAAACCACATCATTGATTGTGCGCTGGATCACCTTCTCTTCCAATGCTGCCATTCTCTCCTTAAGGTGAAGCTGCAGTCTCTCGTTAGACTCGGACAGCAACTTGTCCACCGTGTCGGAGAGGCGCTTGTTGTGTTCGTCATTCATTCTCTCCCTCTGCCTTGCCTGAGGGGGAGATAGAGAGGGGGATGAGAAGAAGGTAAACAGGAACAGATTGGAGAAAAAAAAAATGTCCCTCTGAATTTGGCAAATACGGTGGTCCCTCTCCTATCGCGGTAGTTGCATTCAAAGACCAAGATAGTTATAATATTATTTTCGTATATATATGGACGGACTGTATATGAAAGCGCAGGAGCGCACATTATTGTAAACAAAAACAAAAGGCTGTTAACTGTCATCTGTGTCAGCGTCCCCGTTTGGGCTTAAAAACCGAAACGGGAGTTGATGATCAGTGCGTTTAGGAGGGCGTTGAATTAGGATCAACTTTCACCGAACACAAGAGCACAAACTTTACAGCAACGTACTATTTAACGAAGTAAAGGAGTGGCGGACCAGACAGAAAGAGATGCTACAATGCATGAGCCAATCAGCGCCAGGAACAGAAGAGCATGCTTTTTTTTTTTTTTAGTTTATTTTTTGCTACGTATATTCCAATTTGTTTAGGTAAGAAAATGTTTTTAAATCACAAAAATAATGAAACTATTAAAAATAAAAATGATTTACCGCGGTATAGAGGCACTCTCATCACAAAAATAATGAAAATATTAAAAATAAAAAAGATTCACCGCGGTATAGAGGCACTCTCGCAAGATTGGAAAGAACAATCTGCAATGTACTGAGGGAGCGAAAGGAGAGCCGCGATATAGTTGAGTTTATGGTAAAATGTTTCTTGGTGCTCACAAAAAAAAAACATATGGGAAAGGAGAAAAAAAATAAATAAACGGACAGAAAAAGAGAGAAATAGATACACAAGAGGAGGACTGACTCACTCTTTGTAACTCCTGGTTCTTCTCCTCCAGTTGCGACTCCATCTGTCGTAGTCGCTCCTCGAAATTGCCATGACGCTCCTCTGCCTAAGTAAAGTAAAGACAGAAACAGGGAAAGTGGGGGAAAAAAAGAAAAAAAAAAAAGCTTAATCGATACAAAAAAACTTTTACTTTTACTGCGTTTACCAATTACAGCTGCTACATGCCCGAACAGATCGGCATAAATCCTGTATTGCCACTTCGACCATCTTTGTCATAACTAGGATGAACATAAACATGTGCAGCATTTTTCAAAAGAACTAGGTATAAATGGAATGCAATCGAGTTGGAATTGAATCTATTCATGGTAAAAAAAAAAAAAAAAAAGAAAAGAAAAATTTCCCAGCCCTCTGCTTTCATCATTTGCCAAAGAACTACCGGTTGTGTTTGTCAAGCGCTGCGTCTCATGTCACACAGGTACAGTATAAGTAAACACAAAATGCACACAAACACGCAACCACACAGCAGGCCCACACTTGCAAACAGTTGGCACAGGAACACTGGCTGCGAAACATTCACACACCGTTGCTGGCTTGCAGAAATACTAAGTAAATATTTATGAGGTAATTAAAGTAAAACTATGTAGTAAATAATAATAGCAAAGAAATTACAGTATCTGGTGAAGCCCAAGTGGAGGATGAAAAGAGTTGGAGTAAGCAAACATTTTGCTTCTTGCCATCTTAACCCTTTGGCCGCGTCCATTGAAAGTGCACACTTTTAAAAAGATTTGAGTTGAGGTGCTGGGACTGTGACTGCGACTACGAGTTCTTTGTCGAATTACAGCTAAATCCAAAATTGCAACAAATTAGGTTGGAATTTCATAGCAGTGTTCCTTTGATGTCAAATGTTCATCAAATGTTCATCATTTATTTCTTTATATATATATATGTATATATATGTATACATATATGTATGTATCTATATGTATATATATGTATACATATATATATACATATATGTATATATATATATATATATATATTTAAGTTAATTGCATCCCAGAATTTCTTCCACCAGACCAAGCGAACGCTGCAACATAAATACACACCTTGTTCAGCGCTGCCACCCTCTGGGCAAGCTGCGCCTCGATCTCTGGCAGGGTCTCTGCTCTTTGCAGGGTTTGCTGCAGCTTCTGTTTGGCATCGTCAAGACGCTCCTGAAACTGACGGTTTTTCTCTTCACTCTGCAGCGAAACGGGATCAAATCGCATTAAGATTGTCAAATGGCAGCACACGGGACTATTACTGGCAGGAACTATGTTTTTCAAATGGGAAATGTGGCCAAGATGCCACCCAAAAGTAGTAGTAAATATGGCATTGACAGACATTTCTTACCTGTCTGTACAGAGATTCTTTGCTGGCCAACTCGTTCTCCAGTTTATCTTTTATGTCATGGAGTGATGTCGCCTCCCTCTGGGCACTCAGGTACCTGCCAACCAACCAAAAGAGAAATTAGAATGTGAATAGAGTGTCTTCTAAGATCAAGACCAGGGCTGCCTAATTAGTAGATTGGGGTCTAACATAGATTGTGAAGGGTGTGCTAGTAGATCATGAGCAAATACAATTAAAAATAAATAAATAAATAAAAACATAAATGTAATTCTAGTGTGTTTAGTGACCATATACTGTGAGGATTTAATTATATTGTACCATAGACATTCATACATTTAATGCAGTATATGAGTAAATATATACCCTCATTTTGACTATTCTGACTATTGTACATATATAGGCCGCACTCTATAAGCAGCAGATGTCCATGTTGTAACATGGGATATTTACACAGAATTTTTTTTTCACTTTTAATTAAATAAATACTATTTCCAAACAGTGCCTGTAACACAGCTGGATACGCGTTAGCTCTTTCCTGCTTCGGCGCCTCGACCGTAGTTGGAATGCACAGGGGAGACCTAGCGATCTGCCCTAGGGTCGAAGCTAACATTAGCTCCGGGGCTAACTCCCTTCACTTTGCGCTTGTCGTCAGCAGAGGTAAACAGAAACAGGGAAGTTGGGGTCTTTATTATCAGCCACACCGAGCACAACATAACATAAACAGTGTTTTAACAGCTCTCCCTGTATAACCAACTCACGCTTCAACATGACAGGGTTCAAACTGCGCTTAACTTTCGCTACCGTTCTGTCTGAGCCCCACGCACATTTGCCAGAAAAGTTATGGATTGCTAGCGGTATGAACTTTGTTAGACCGTAAAAAGCCGCATCAGCCGCATCATTGTTTAAGCCATTTGATGTTTTTAATGTAGGTAGATTTTTTTTTTTAGCCTGGTGATTTGAAAAAAAAGTGTGGGCCCCCCGAAACGAGACAATTTTTTTGAGAGGTGCTGAACAGACCTGCGTTCCAACGTGGTGATTCTTTCCTCCATGTCTTCCCTTTGACACAGGGCCTGTGAGACACACAAAAACATAGCATATCTCAAGGAAGTGATCCATAAATGAAATGTCAAAGACACAAACTAACATTAACGTTATTTTCTCGATCAGCAGGTAGCTAGAACAGGCATGGGCAAACTAAGGCCCATTCAGCTTTTTAAGCAGGCCCAAACCAAACTTTTCCAAATCATATAATTTATTTCTATTATCATTATACTTCTGCCTTTTCCCTGCGATACCCACGTTTCCCCAATAGATGGCGTAGAAAAAAAAGCATTTTAGCATTTTAGTCTTTACCCATGACTTACATGTCATTTATCTTCGTTCTCGCGAACGCTTCATCTATCTGCTCCTTTTGTCCATTTTGTCTGTGCTGCGGGAGCTTAAAAAGTGTTTAATTACCTTATAATAAATATATATATAAATATAATTTATATATTTAAAATGATGGTTGTTCAACAATATCACGACAGTATTTCGGAGACAATAATTTGGGAGAAAGCTAAGCGAACACGCAATCACGACTCCTCAGCACCAGTAAGGATGAATAAAATTACTTTTCCAATCAATTACTTTGATTCATATTCAGCCGTGTTTATCATTTTTTTGTAAGATCTAATTATTTGTATTGGTTTCTTGTAAAAATATGTTTAAAAAAATACTGTTGAAAAAGTTATTTGAAGAAGCAATCTTCCTGGGTCAAGGAACGGAATAATCCATTTTACCGTGATTCCTATGGGGAAAATTGTTTCATTTTACAAACTTTTTCGGTTCACGAATGGCCTTCTGGAATAAATAAAGTTTGAAAACTAAGGTGCTACTATTTTGTAAAGGCAATTTCGACTTTTAAATTTGCATGTGATCAAGGAAAATAAAGTGTCACTTTGTGCACTAATCTGGCTACTCAGTATGACAAAATGATGTTAAAATTGGGTCAGAAGCCAAAAAAGTTTTGGGAATCAATTCAAGTAAAATATAATAAAGATGTGAAGAAACAGACAGCTGTTACTGACTCACCTCTTTGACATCCCTCTGTAGTTTCTGATTGGCCTCTTCCGAGCGAGCCAGCTCCCTCCTGGCTGATGTCAGCTGCTCCTCGATTTCTCCCACCTGACAAAAGGACAAAGGGCATTTCCTGAATTGTGTTTCGAAGATTCCTTTGTTTCAGGTCATGGTCTACAGGTTACCTGTCTACACATGAGAGCGAGTCGTTCTTTCAGCTGCCCCAGCTCCAACCTCTGTCGCTCTATCTCTCCCTCTCTCTGGCGGTCGACTTCGCCATCATCAAAGATGGAGGATGGTCCGTTGGGAAGCTGCTAAATAAAGATAATGCATTCAAACTGATTAGTGAGGTGTTAATGACACGTATGATAACATAAGGAGTACTTCACTCTAGTCATACCATTTACCACACAATTATTGCTCATTTTAATTTTTTTCCCAAAAACATATTTTCTTTTTTGGGTCATTAGGAGATTTTCGCAACCTCTCAACCAAAAAAAAAAAACACATGTATTGTTCTTAGAGATGGGCAAAAGCAAGAGACAAGAGAGCGAGAATTAAAAATATACCGTAATTTCTGGACTATTGAGCACACCTGAATATAAGTCGCATCCACTAAATTTAAAAAGAAGAAGAAAAAAATAATTGTAAATATATAGGTCCCCGTTGTAACATGGGATATTTACAGAGAAAGATTTTTTTTTTGTTGTTTCACTTTTGTTTTTGCCTGGAACACGGCTGGCAGAGAAAGATTTTTTTTTTTCACTTTTGCTTTTGCCTGGAACACGGCTGTTTACATAAAAATCCATAAATTAGCCATATCATTGTTTAAGCCTTAGGGTTCAATGTGTGCGAAAGAAGTAGCGGCTTATAGTCTGGAAATTACGGTCGATCTCTTTTACAATATTTTTTTATCAGATATTCATTTTACACCGTTTTTTTTTTTTTTTTTTTTTGCCAGTCTCTTGTAAAACATTTGCGAACCTCTGGAGTAGGCGATTATCATTACCTCTTTGTTGTTGTCTAATCCTTGCTGCCGTCGTTTGATTTGTTCTCTTAATGATACTACCTAGAACAACATGGAGGCAGAAGATGAATAGATATCCGGCTGTAGAACAACAACAACAACAACAACAACAACAACAATAACAACAACAACAACAACAACAGCTTAAAAAACCTAGGCCTCACCTCTTGCGAGGAGGACTGCAGTTCTTCTTCCAGGGCGGCAACTCTCTCCAAAGCCACCCGCAGCCTTTCCCGCACTTTCTCGTCCAGGGCTTTGTGGTGCTCAAACAAAGACTTGAGGGCTTTAAGGACCTCCACTTCACTGGAAACACCTGCAGGGGACTGTGCCTGTCTCTTTACCACGGTCATCCTCAGGCTACGCTCGTGACGGGACACCAGGCACTCTAGGTGCTCCAGCAGCAGCTGAAAGTTTTTACGAAATGTTTTCAAAGAAATAGTCCAACGTTATTCGACAACAAAATACACACAAAGACTTACTGTAATGTAATATCAGTCTATGAGTGTACTGACCCTTGTGTTGTTACGTTCTGCCTTTAGCTCAGCTATTTCTTCCTCTCTTTCCAGCAACTGTTCCCGGCAAAGATTTAGCTCTTTGGTCAGCACCGCAAACTCCTGCAGGGCCACAAGAAGGCACAGTTATGGATGAAATGCAGGTAAACAAGTGTGCGGAGATTCGTTCTGCATTGGTGCATTGGCAAAAATATATCCAAAGTTATATTTATAGTAAATAGTAAATGTTGTTTTTAACATTGAAATTGAAATGAAATCTCATTAATTTGCAATTGGATGTTCACTCTTAACACTATAACTTTTCATCACAGAATGTAGACCAGGCGTGGGCAAACCTTTTGACTCGTGGGCCACTAGGGGGGGGGCAATAGATGGAGCGTCCGTGAACCAAGATAAATGACATGGAAAAAGTCATGCATAAAGGCTAAATTGCTAAAATGCTTTTTATCATTTTCTACATTATCTATTGGGGAAACGAGGGTATTGCATAATATAAAGAATTATATAATTTGGAAACGTTTGGCGGGCTGGATTAGAAAACCTGAACGGGCCACATCCGGCCCCTAGGCCTTAGTTTGCCCATGCGTGATGTAGACTTGTTGGGCCAACAGATAATTATATTAATCAGGCTTTGACAAACAGACAGCAATAAAGAGAATATAAACAGAATAAATACTTTTGTTAAGTATTATGTCATTGAACACAGTCAACAACACCGAAGGTGTCATACATATATACATATATGTATGTATATACATATATATATACATACATATATGTATGTATATATATATATGTATGTATATATGTATGCATATGTATCATAAATCTAAATTCGGCTAACTGTGACTGTGTATTGGAGCTTTGACATTCAAAACAACCACTTCAATGTTGCGCCAGATCTCTTCCCATTCCTTTTTATTAGAAGCATGGGCCTTTTAATAGGAGTTCGCCAAAGGCTAAAGCACAGTTGCTGCTAAGTCAAAACACATTCCTAGAAAGGCTTACAAAGTGGACATTAACTGATCCTATTTTTTTTTCTCCCCCGAAGAATCTGTACCCTTTCCTGCAATCCCTAAGCGGTAGTTAACCATTTCAACGTTTTTCTGTGAATTATTTGTCTGGGGCCTTTTCATATCAGACGTTAGGAAATAGTGCAGCTGCTCCTATTAAATGTTTAATAGCATCGTTGTTTGATCTAAGAGTCTCAGTAATTAGTTTCAACATTGACACCTGTGCTTTATTTCCTTTCCCACAGTTTTTACTGTGAAGGCCTGCGGCTGCTTAGAGTTAAGTGAAACCGTTTATCCAATTAAAGTAGTTTCGGTGGAGGAAGCTAGCACCCCACGACTAAAAATACATATCATTATTTATATATATTTATATATTTTTATTTCCCATTTTACATTGTACATTAAGAGGTTGAGTCTGTCAGCACATGGTTCACTGAGATCTATTCCGATCCCCTGCACTCATCGCAACTGCACTTGATCTGCATTATAAAGTTCGTTACCTGGATTGGGGAATAAAGCAGCCTGCACGAGGTGTACTTGTCACAATTAAATAGTTGTACAATGTTGCACTTAAAATATAAATCACAAAATAGAAACTTTTTGAATTTAAGTTGGGTTGTTTATATGGTTTTGTTCTGCAGAATTCAACTTGAATGCCATTACAATTTAATGCATTAATGGAAAAAAAATCGTCCGGACCATTAAACGTTGGCGCAGTATTGTCGTAATTAAAGACAAGACCACATTCAGCTTATAAGTAGATCATACGCTCAAGACCCAATGTGCTTTTGCTTAGGTCTAGCCCAGGCATGGGCAAACTAAGGCCCGGCAGCCTGATGTGGCCCAGCTTTTTAATCTGGCCCGCCAAACAAATTATACTGTTGAACCTCGAGATATAAGTGCTTCAACATACAAGTATTTTGAGATACGAGCATGCCTTCGAGTAAATCTTTGCTTGAGGTACGAGCACGCTTACAGATGCCGACGCTAGGTGGCCGAGCACTCGGAGCAGCCCACGCGTCCTACGAAAGTGAGTGGTAAGGATGGTAGTGTGTCAATAAATAAGAGCACGGTGCCCATGTGAGTGATCGAGCATGCATATATGATCGCAGTACATCCACGATATGTGCCATCCTAAAGTAAAAAAAAAAAAAAAAAGTTTATGTACGTAGTGTAGGTGTAGTAAATTACGGTACGGAATCAAGTGTCTACGTACGGGCCAATTCTCTTCCCTAACCCTTTCTCCCTCTGCCACATGCCGTCATTAGCCGCTACTGTATCGTCTGTCTCGAAGGTAAGAACTGATAATTAAAACCACATTTTATTTTATATCACAGGAATCCTTATATACTACAGTTTTTTGTGTGTGTATGTCTCTATAGCATTACAACATGTTTTTTCCCCATTGTTATTAGCACTAATAAGCAGCTGGAATGGATACATTTTTATATATATTTATTTCTTATGGGAAAAAAAAAATATTCGAGATACGAGCACCCCGAGTTACGAGCTCGGCCCTGCGACGGATTATGCTCGTATCTTGAGGTTCCACTGTATTATTAATTTTTATTATCATGATATTTTTGAATTTCCCCCTGCAATACCAACATTTCCCCAATAGATGGCGCAAAAAATGCATTTTAGCATTTTAGCATTTTAACCTTATTGCATGATTTTTACATGCCATTTATCTTAGTTCACACGAAGGAGAAAAAAAGGTCCCAAACAAACAACGCAAATGAATGAAAGTGAATGTTGTACATGTATGGCGTACGACAGGCGAATCACCGCATTGTATCGTGTGTCTACGTATTTGTCTACTCCAGCTGACTTTTAACGCTGTACATCTGAATGATGGAACAAGACTTTCCTAATACATTGATGGGGGAAGGCAACATGACGACAAAATGCTGTAGGTAGAGGGCGCTGTAAACCGAGGGCCCCCTGTATTTACTGTTTTATTCTGCCATAGAAGAGGGAGAGTAGACTGAAATTCAATGTTTGTGGCTGAGGGGATCAGGAGCAGTGGGATCACAGTTTATTGGTGATTTTATTTAGTTTAAGTAGCGTAGGCAGTTGTTGACCCTTGTTAAGTTTTGCAGAAAAAAACAACAAAACTTAACTGTCTCACGATGTCTCCACATTAAGCACATTGCTGCACGCAACCATACACACACACACACACTGGCACAAACCAGCCTACTTTCTTGTTCTCAATACTTTACCTATTAAGGTAAAGTATTGAAAGTAAGGAAAATGAAATAATATGGCTGTTTTTTCATTTGATTCAATACCTTAAATGTCAAAACAATCAATTCAGCAACCCTGCCTGAGTGCGCGTACAGTGGAACCTCGAGATACGAGCATAACCCGTCCCAGGACCAAGCTCGTAACTCCAGGTGCTCGTATCTCAAATCATTTTTTCCCATAAGAAATAACAGAAAAAAAATTAATCTGTTCCAGCCCTCTAAAAAACTCCCTAAAAACTCCCTTGCTAATAACAATGGAAAAAACACACCAAAAAAAAATTATAGTACGGTATATAAGGATTCCTGTGATATAAAATAAAATGTGGGCGCCAAGCCGTGCGGGGTAGGCCTCCCGTACGCCACATTTCCCTCGATCGCCAGACAGGCGGGAATTCGCGATGGGCTCTTCCCTCTTCGCCTGCCGTTACTGAGGGAATCCTGGTTAGTTTCTTTTCCTTCGCCTAGTGATATGCTTGAGTTCAGCGGGTCGTCTCGCCTGATCTGAGGTCGTAGTCGATGACGGCCGTGGCCTTCGAGACAGACGATACAGTGGCGGCTAATGGCGGCACACTAACCTAACTTTTTTCAATTTGTATTCTTTCTTTAGCGGGCATCACGCTCATATTTATCGACAATTCCATGCTTTATTTCCATGGTCATCATGCGTTTCTTCTTCTCACTACCATCCTTACTGCTCACTATCTTAGGACTAATCACTATTATGAAAAATAATACACAAAATAGAGAGAAAATCACGTAGATAACGCCAACACAATACGGAAGACTCGCAGGAGATGCGTACGGAAGTCGGCGAACGTGTGAAGAGAACCAGTGAAGCGGCTCGGGCCACCTAGCGTCAGCGTCTGTATGCGTCTGTACGCGTGCTTGTATCTAAGATCTTTACTCGTATCTCAACGCAAACATTTTCTCGGTTGCTCATATCTCGGAATACTTGTATCTCGGAAATACTCCTATCTCGAGGTTCCACAGTACTGTACTGTATTTTTTTATTTATTTAGGAACTACCTTTCAAAACATTTCCAAA